ATTAATACTATATATATATATATATATATATATATATATATATATACAGATTTATTGAGAAAATACGAAGGGTGAATAAAACTGGATGGAAATTGCGGCTGACTTGAGAGATAAATCGAGAATAAAATTGAAATAGAAAACTGTGAATTGAGTTGACAGAGATACGTCAGATCAAATGTAATGCACTAAGATAATTGCATTTGGAATAATTAAAGTGAAGACCGGAGAGTTAGTTTACGAGTTGGTCGAAAGTGATTGAATATATATATTTCTCACTATTCCATTTTATCAGTAGAAATCAATTCAAGAATTAATTTATAAATTTGTAATTAACCGTTAATATAATTAAGATTATTATAATATAGTATAATAAATATTTTAATTAATTTTATAGCAAAAAATCAGATATAGTAAGATCACAATCATAAAAGCAATAAAATGAAATTTAAAGTATATGACGTCAATATAAGTATATGACATATACTTATATGTCATATACTTTTTTATCCCGCGTATTTATCCACGAAAAATCAATTTCTGAAAAAGTACGCGAGAAATTAAATCTTATTAATAGGCTAATTTTAATAGTTAGAGGATTAGATTTGTAGTTTACTCGAATTTATTTAGTTAAAAAAGTATTACTCGTATTAAATAAATGATTTCGAAAACTTTAAGCTAATATTGTTGCACCATCTGTGCCAAAAATTTGCGCGTTATTTTAAATAACCACCATTCGTAAGCTATCGTTTAAATTACAGACATCGTATTTTACGCTTTTCGATATTTCGTGCTTTCTGAACCGGAAAATTTTTGCAACATGATTCAAATTGCAGATCGATGCTGTGGCTGTTTCGTAGCAAGTAGCAGTAATAGAAGCAGTAGTAGTAGTAGTAGTAGTCGCGGTAGTAGTAGTCGTAGTAGACGCGCACCCTGCGTCGACTATTACACGGTGCCATGAGACTTCGTTCTCGATAAGCGCTTTGCGGCGAGCCAAGGGTTTCAAAAAAAGGAACAGGTGTTGGCGAAGGTAGGCATGGCAGGTGAAAACGTGAAGTAGAAATGAGGCTAAAGAGGGAGAACACAATTCGAGGTGTCGAATACCAAAGGAGCGACCGAAGGTGCCAGACATCCCTAGTGCGCAAGGGCGTTGGCGCTGACGACGGACGGTACTGGAAGTGTCGGGGGTGTGGGGTCTGGGAGCTTTGGAGCTTCATGGCGGGGGTGAAAGCATGAGGGGGATGAACCGAGTAGGGGATGGTGTTGAGGAAACCGTGGGGTGGGACAACCGGAGACGACTGTGCTCCCAGTCGTTCAGTCCGCGCCCCGACACGCAATCACACGCACACTTCTTGTTTAAAGACGACGGAGTTTCCGTTGTTTCGCGCTCGGGGATTTTCAAATCGATTCGTAATACCCGCGTCTCAGATCAGTTCGAGAATTCTTCGTTATCGATTTCCTTGTCGATCCTCAACGGAATCTCACGTTTTCGTCGGTGAGTATATAATAGCTAATAGATGGTGTCATATCTGATCTGATCTTATATATAGAAAGTGGAATTGTTACGGTGCGTTCTGTGCGACAGCTGTTACGAATTAGAAGTTTAGGAAAAACTTTACAATTCTTGTGGTATTTCTTTGTTACGCCGCTCAGATGGTCGCGTTTATCTTCAATGTGGCAGTCTAGAAATGTTGCGTCGCATTAGTGGGAAATTCATCACACAACGCGATAAAGCACACGTAATCCATTTCTCTTTCATCTTCGTCAAAATCTTGTGTTCCTCCGAGAATTACCCTTGTAATTACAATTGCCACACGTCATTTCATCCTACTAATGAAAAAGCCGGCGCGTTTGCTTTATTTCTCGAAAGAAAGAAATAAGTTTATATTATCATCCGTATTAGTGAAACTCTCTGAATTTTGTGCGTGACAAAATTTATAATAAAAGTTTCTAAACAAAACGATTCAAGATTTAATAATGACTTCTTTGCGCTACAATACTGTATATAAATATAAACTTATGATATACAAAAAATTCTCTGTGAACATGAAATTTATTTCAGTTATGCCTTTTACATTTATTTTTATAATAATTTTTTTCAAAATATGAAAAACATTGTTTATTTTTAATTCAAAATAATTTTTAGAGAGATTTTTAATATTCTGCATTTTCAAAAAAGTACAATTATTAATTTTTTCTTTTTTAAGTGTTTTTAATTCTATCCATAATTCTTCTTTATGGAGATACATAAAAATAAAAATGCTGTTTATTACACAAACCTATAGTAGCAAAGACTGTTATGCGCGCGTCTATCGTATTTTTCGTACATGTCGCTAAAATCTTAAGAGGAAAGCTTAATCTAAGAAGCAGATTAATCTGCTTCCAATTTAGTTTGTTGAAAATTGAAGTTGAGAAGTTCACGCGTTTATACTGATACGTGTTTTTGATAATAAATATTTAATAATTTTGATAAGAAGATATAATAAAAAATAATAATTCAATATATGTACTTGAAATATTTGTTATAAAATTTTGGAATTTTTACAAAAAATTGTTTTTTTATTGAATTTTATAAAATAATTTGATGGGAATTTTAATTAGACAATATATCTAAAAATGAATTATTCATTGATAGACAATTAAAATAATATAAATAGATATAAATATACATTTTTTTCAAAAACAGAAAATGACAGAATTAATTTGTTTGATATATTTTTAGTCATGTTTTATAGGATAATACACATTGATGAAGAATTAATAAAATGGTATATTTTAACTCTTGTTTATAATTAAATAAAAGTAATTATTAACTTGTCTTTAAAATTATTTAATATCTATTCTCTTCATTATATATGGATTTGTTATAAAGAATAAATTCTGCAAATTAACAATACGTACGAGAATTATATTGAAGTGAATGGGATTCTCATTAATTTTCTCATAAAATATTAATCATGTATTTTCAATATTTCTGCCAGTGCTTTTATCAATATAACTCTAACTTCATAACACATATCTATCGTATTAAATTCTAGATATATCGGTTCTGCATATCAAAATCGCGTTGAAAATGTGCGAAGATACATCAATATTGAAAAAGCGAAAGATTGAATCATACATAGTTGATTTTAACGAAAGTTGCTAATTATAATTGATTAGTTGCATTTTAAATTTAAATATAATATATCAATATATAATCCAGTATTTCTATAATCTAGTAAATTATAAGAGGAGAAGACGAAACACTTTCCTAATCATTATTAAAATCTAAATTTCTTATAAATATGATTTTATGTATAAAATAATAATATGATATTTATATTTATTTTATTTGTTAGTATACCTTTATGGCCATTCAAAATTTCAGAAAATTATTAATAAGCTAGTTTGCCCATTAGTATGGAAGGTCTGTTGCTTTATGGCTTCACACAGTCGTATTTGCTGCAGAAAATCCATTTGCTAATTGGAGAGTTCTGCCATTTACGAAATCAAATATGAGTAGCCAGTAAGATTGATTTACAAATTAGTATTTCGCTACTAAAGCGCATTAATGAATTACTATTATACATCATCAATCAGATCCATTGATGTTTATATTATAATCATCGGATTTTTATTTATACGCAGGATGCTCCAAATCTATTAATCTAGTTTCTAGATATATATTATATACATAGAATTTCTATTTTATAAAAGATTAATGTAAAACAAACATTTTTTTTACAATAAAATTGTACCCATTTGCAAAAGATTAAAATTTTTTCTAAACTTACATAATTTTCTTTAGTAATTGTAAAATGTTGTATTTTTACTTATAATCAAGAGTTAAAAATATAACAAAATAACGATATTGTTTTACATTTTTTAATATTTTGACCAGAATCCTTATTCTTTTACTTACGTTCTTAAAGTGCAAACGTCCAGTCTTGACTCATCTTTACGAGCTGGCTGTAATTTTATGGACGGTTGGCAAGCACGATCCCAAGAGTAAGCCAGAAACTTTCTTGAAGCTGCTTTAGACCGCTCATCTCCCTGCTGTCCAAACTTGATTCATCTAACTTCGCTCGATGAAGTTCGCATCGGAAAAGACATGAATTTTACGATCGATGCAAAAATTTGAAGATATCCTCTCGCACATTCGCAATTTATTATGTTTGAATGAAGTTTGCGATAGGCTGCGACAGCTGTTTCATGAAGCTGTGGCTGAATTGTCAATGCGTGAAGTTAGCTTGTTGACTAGAAGTAGAAAGATTTTACGGTTAAAGATTACGAGAATTACAAAACAGGTCGCAGAGAATAAATCGACGAGTTATTATTGAAAAAGTTATAACTAACCCACGCACCGTTGATAAAGCTAATTCATACCGCTTCTTCTACTCTGATCGAATATTTTAATTGTCGGCAGCCCTTCTTGTTCTCCGCCTCATTGTGCTTCCCTTTGCGCTATTGGACTGGCTTAATTGAACCCTCCATTCGCTTTCTGTTCGCACAAAGAATCCACAAAGAGAGTAGTTCATATCACAAGTTTGATGACTCGAAGATTTTACTGTTTGCATCTCGATTTTAATTGTCATAAAAATTGTACAATAAAAATTGTATTAATATGTATAATGTTATTCTATATTCAGATTATTCCCAAGATAGAAGTTATCATCGCTGCATAATTAATTAAGATTTGGAAATCTATAATGATCGTTTTGGGCGTTTAAACTGATGAGATGAAATAGAATCAGAATTATCACATTTAAAGGGATGAGTGAGCATACTTAATCTATACTTGTGATCGGATCGATGAGAAAAACGAATCGGATCAGGGCCAGGTTCTGAAAGCGGTATCGCAAATTTAATTTTTAATAGTGAGTCTGGATTTGTTCAATCTCTTCTATATATCCTCTGCTCGTCTTCTTCTTTCTATATACCATTGCTTGAACATAGACCGATTCCCTACAAAAAAAGATTATTATCGTATGACCCAGATCGCTTTAGTATGCAGGTGACATTACTTGAGTAAAGAGAAATTCAATTTCTGAAGAATACGCTCGAGTATGATGTTAATCTGTAAGCCATTTCCCGAATAAATAAGATTATTTCTAAGATTTCATGCACATCTCGATTAACACCTGAAATATTCAAACGTTAAGGATAAAATGTATGTTTTATATATAATGCACTCTAAAGAATTGAAAAATTATTAGAAAATAATTTAACATCGATATATTAGTTGATGATATTTTACTTTTAACATTATAATATTTGAATTAAAAATATAAAAATGTATTACCACAAATATAAAAAAATAAAGATAAAAACAATTTTGTTTGCTAATTAATTTTTTAATTAAAAATTATATAAAGCTTTATCCGATATCTAACATGCTAAATCCGAGTTATTGATAATAGTTGATCCGCTTTTCAAGTTTCTCTTGGTTATCAATTTGGATTATATAATTTAGAGTAATAATTTAACGTTATCGAAGGATTGGAAATTAGACGAAGGAAATAAGCCACTTTACCTCATATGTGATTAATAGAATTAATAAACAATAAATTAAGAATTAAGAGAAAAATATAAAAGAATATATAATATATAATAAAATATCTTTTACAATTTATTTTAACATTTCTTTTTAATTATATCATTTAATTAATTCTTAATTTTTAATTTTTAATTGATTTTTAAGATTTTTGTTTTTAATTGTATTTTCAATTTGATAATTTATCAAGAAATTTGTTGATTTGTTCTTTTTTAAACAGAGTAATTTTGTCTTATTTTTATATTGAATCAATCTGCGTATACTAAAACATTTTATCATTTCCGTATGTGTAACATTGATCAAATTTTCCTTTATATTTGAGAAATTGACAGCTTTAAATTGCATAGAAATCACTTTCCGTATTTCACATACAAATATATTGAATGGTTGAAAAACTTTATATTTGATTTATTTAAAAATAATATGACATTGGATTCCGATAACAATTGAATATTAAATACTACATAGTATAATTTTTAAATTACATATAATAGTTAATGAAAAGATTGTAACAACTTTATTAAAAAAAATAAGTACATAAGCTTATTTTTAGAAAAAATTCGTTCTTTGACTTAATTGTTTTTGTGGAATTAATTTAAAATAAAGATTATAATAATATGTTTTAATTGATTGTAATAATAAGTTTTACAGGAAATTATATTATAATTTATTTTATGTAAATCAAATTTTAAAGTAAAGATAGTTACGTTGTAGTTATAAAAAATTATTGTGCGTATAAAATTTTAATATTTTAATATCTCAACGAAATCGTAAATAAATAATTAATTTTAAATTATAATCAAACAATAAATAATTGCAAATATCTTACGTAGTGTCCTACATTCCAATTCCAGGAAAAAAGTAAAAATATAAAAAGAAGCAGAAGCGTTTTCTGGAATGAAATGAGGACGTTGTTACTGCGGTTGTTACTCCTCAATATCCTGCCGAGATTGAGCATGGATACTCGATGAAGACATTGTCGAGACGTATTTATGATTTTGTTTTCCTGAAAAACAAAAATTTATGTCTTGAAGAAATATTCATCATTAGTTTTTCACGATAAGACGAACGTTATATGAAAGTTGCTGAGCGACGAATCCTTTTACTGCACAAACTGTCGTACGGCAATGTTATCTTTTGCTACGTCCTTTGCATAATGCAATAGCCGTCACGCTCCTTGATCGGTCCGCTTTGCTTCTATTTCAATTAATGCCTATTGATTTGATCGGATCGTGTTATTACGCAGTATCACAATTTGCATGAAGATTCGTCAGCCTCGCTTGACACAAAATGTCATCGGCGAAACAACAATAGATTGTACGATATATATCTATTTGTGATATATTAAATGGGTTATACAATTTTGTTGAGATCAGAATACACAATAACAGATTAAAATATCACAATTTTATACGTAACACCTTTTATTTTAACTATAACTCAACTATTTTTAGTTAAAAGTAATTATTATTATATTATAATTGTTTGTTAAATATATTTTCTAAATAAATTTTAGATATTATTTCTTGCTATTTAGAATGCAAGCACAAAAAATATGGTGTGTTATTTGTCAAACTTACACAAAACGTTAAACAAATTTTTAAATTTGCCGATTAAATCGGCACCAATAGGTTTCATGATATGATTTTTATATTGAAATAACATTCAAGCGGAATACTGTTTGTATAATAATATTTTTTTATTGTAAAATATCGTAAATGAAACACGATATAAAAAAATGTTTGAATAAAAATTACATTTAAAATAATTTTTTTGAAATATTAAGTGAAGTTTTGTGTCTTCACGATTTGATACCGGAAATACGATAGCATTTGCCGTTTCTCGAGCAGTCTGCGAATTGCCAATTAAAGCTTTTATAGGCTATAATATAAAGTTAGCGAGACAATGGGGGACATGTCTGCGTTGTCTATGCCGTAAAGCAAAAATAACAAAATATAAGAACAGTAAAAACGCGGTGAAGCACGTACGGGTCGGCCATTCGAGTAAATGATCCATAAAAGCTACGTACTTCTGACAAAGCATTTCATGCGCGACGCATTATCCGTTCGTCTCTCGTAAAAAGTCCGCTTGAAATTGATGACGGTTACGACTATGGTCTGCTCCAGAAATTAGCAAGACTCGACAAGAACACGTAGCAAATTTATTGATCCTACGGTCTTTGTTTGGTTACATTTCCTGCCCCGATCGTCGGTGCAGCACCGACATCGTTAAGACATCGAAGTTTCCGAAGGATCTTAAAGATTTAAAGGGATTCTCGTAGACGATTCCATACAGGATACCGCTTCGATAAGAAATAGAAACAGCGGGCAAAAGCGGAAGGAAGTAAAGCAAAACGGAGGGTAAATGGAGAGAAGCGAATAAAACGAAAAATGGACGAATCAAAAGAGAAAAGAAAAATGGAGAAAGCATAACAGAAATGTGAAGCACACTAGCGGCGATTTTATTTTATGCTGCATCTCGGACGTTGTCTGCCGTTTATTTCCTTGCAACTGTGGCATTCTCGTTTTTGCTTGCCGACGCGTATGTTTTATTTATAACTTATCGTTGGCTTGAGCATTAGCAGTGTTTAATTATCTATGCATGCTGCGCTCAGAGAGACTATCGTGATTATTTGCGCGCGCCGTTATCCAACACAATTTTGTCAAGTTAAGAAAAAATGTGTACACGCGTCAGCGGATGCTTTTTATCGTCTTCCGGGGTTTCATTGACGTATATAAATCCCGGCGGATAGCACAAGCATTATCAACGTCGGAGTATGATTACTCGGATGTATGTACATGCATATTCATCGTTCTTCGTCTGGTATTGGTACACATCATTAATATTTCCGATTAAACGTCGTTTTAGCAAGCTGTCACGTACATTGCGTTCGCGTCATGTAATTAAACTCTGTAACGAGGTACTTCGGTGGTTTTATGTAATTAATAACATACCTGACAGCGAACGTCTCGCCTCGTGAGGTCGATCGTTGCATTCCTGATTAGCCCCATCAGGACGATTTAAAGTTTTCCTTTCAATCCTTCGTGTTTTCCGCTAGCAGCCCTTGAGAGCAGCTGTGAGAGAAGTAAAGGCCAATATCTCAGGTCTTTATGAATCCCGTTTGTTACGGGAGCCTCTTTGAAACTGAAAATCTTCAGGATTTCATAGGATATTTCTGCCATACATTCTGTTTCTTTCCAGACGCTAGGTCATTTATATCTGTCAGTGACATTTATGCTTTGCAAATTGGTACGTAATTTTTTCGTATGCTGTAGGAAATAGGTCGTCCTTTATTTTTTCATTTAAGAGAATGCCAAGCTATATTCTGTAATGTTCTCTGTATATGAATGTAAATATAAATTTTTACGTTCCTTCATCTTAAGAATTTTAAAAATAGAATATTTCGTAATGCGTAGACTATAAAAAAACACATTTAAATAGGTGTGAAGGTCACAATTCAATGATGTGAAATCTTTGGCAATTCTATGGAACTATTGTTACATTTCTATGAAATTGCGGCTATTTTATTGTTTTCTATAGAATTATCACTAATAACGTTCTATGAAAGCATCAATTAATTGCTTTTATCATAACATATGTGTATAGATTGTGGATTACGATATATAATTTATACATTATAAAGAAACCTTCTATTCTAAATATACTACAATTGAAATGTAGAATAGAGATACAAACAATGATAAATTTACCTTTCACGCGCATCAAAAGTATATACACATGGCATTATTTATCTCAATATATCATAGACAATACGGAGTAAAAAGAGATAAATAAAACAAGTCGATGCATTTGAATTTAATGTAAAGTGTCAAAATAGTGACAGACGATGATGAATTTGGATCTTTTGGTTAATATGTTAGCATAAATGGAAAAACGAAACTTAAACATGCTATACGAGGGAATAATGTAACAGGTGGTCCAGCCTAACTTGACTAGCTACCATGCATACACCACTTTCTCGCTTCATAAAAGTTTCTAAAAATATAATGATAAAATTCAGCAAATTAATAAGCTGTGACGTGTTATATCAACCTGTCTATAAATATATCTTTAATATTTAATTGTGAATACTTCGCACGCATATGAAAATTTTAGTAATATATAATAAAGACTTTTGTTTATACTTTAATTATGTTAGTAAGTTAAAGGTTCATTATTCATCCACATCTATTTTAAATTACTTATAAATTAAGAATAATTTTTTTTCTTAAGAATAACTTTTGTATTCTAGAAGAGTGTAATATATCTGCAGCTTGTAATAAATAAAAGAAATATTTTTATATGTATGTTTGCTTATAATGGACGCAATGATTAACGAGCACAGAAAATATACTATGAAGAATAGACTTATGGCAGGCGTGTGTAAATATGTGTACATATAGAAGTAAAATCCTGTTCTCTCCAAAAATGATTTCTACGGAAAGTTTCATTAGAACATTTTATCAGAAACTTACAAAAGTATGATTGATTACGCAAGTACGCAAATATTAATTCACTAAACAAACACGCGTGAATAAAGGATTCTATTTTTTTTCTCATAAGCATTACATACAATATAAATAATAGGCAAAATTAAGTCTCCATTAAATGTTATAATGGTACAAAAAATAACTGCGCAATTTATTGCGATTAATATTTAGCAATTGCCTTGAATATGAAAACTAAATTCACAACACAATACATATGCAACATTAATTAATTACTGTATTATATTTAACTTATGCAGTTATCAAATAAAATGTTCATCAAATAGTATGAGTTACAGCTATAACGAAAAGTTATAAATTTTCGAACTGACAAATTTTCGAACTTTCGAAGGACATTATGTTATTGTGTAAATATATTTTCTACTAAAAGCTGTTATCTTACACAAAGTTCTAATCCATTAATTTTAGTTTCAAATATCAACATATTTCCGCGCACAAATAATAATGGCTGCTAATAAGTCTCATTGTTAACATAGTTTTAAGATTAGACGTGGTCGTGTTTATTCATGGAATTTTCGACGAATAAAGTATAAGTTACATTAGAAGACAAAGTTAGGAACAATAAACGAGAGGATTACAAGTTTTCAATATTTTATCGGGTATACTTAGTACGGCGATGAAGATTTATTCGTTGATGAGTAGAGGGCGACAAAAGAAAGATAGGCAATAGGATAAGTCAAAGAAATATTGTTTAGTTTAAGATCAGCAAGAACTCTAAACTATGCAAATGCGCATGCGGCATATTGCTGGTGATACGTTGCTGTCACGTTCGTGTATCGGAAAAGTGTTATTCAAGATAGCAGGTTGCACATATTGAATCGTGACGCCTATTAATTACCAAGGCAGCCTATAAATCTTAAACTTTTTTAATGGTCGCGTAAATTTCGGGCAATATATTGCACATTGTCCTGTCAATTTCAAATGGCTCGCGATGAGAAGATGATAAATGGCATTCTTTTTTCTTGCACGAAACTTTCCATAGATTTCAACGTTTCACCAATTGAAAGTTTAATTAAGTATGAGACGTAATTGAAATTTTCTCTCGTGAATTTCTTGTGGATTACTCATGATAAATTGAATTTATCAGCTGAAATGCGGTTTTCTATTGTTCATTTACTTAAAATGCTGGCCTTCTATTTGAAAGATTGATTCATCGAACTTTTATAAAAGTGCTCTAGAACATTCAAAATTATATTTGATTTTAAATAACAAATGTATTAATATTTTAATTCTCTCTTATTTAAACATCATAATATTTTCAAATGTATATAACATGAAAATATTTTATTTTATTTTAAATATATTTACTAAGAAACTTGGATTAAATCATTATATATAAAAATAAGTATATATATATATATATATATATATATATAATAAATATTATATTATATATATAAAGAACGTAAAACTGAAATCTTTATACAAACATAGTATAAAGTCACAGTATTATATAAAGTCATATATGTATTAAAAATTTTGTTTTTGTCGTAAAAAGTTTGGATATCACAGAAGTTCACCAAATCTTGTCTTGCCTTACATTTGTAGTTTCGTTTGAAACTATATCTTCGACTATAAATTCGATGAAATACACGATTGTTAAAGAAGGAAATACAGGTATACACGTAAAAGTTATGCGTTCACGTAGTATTATCATGGCTCAAAATAAAACTTTTCTATCGTAAACGGAGAACTTTAGGTAATGTAACATTCGCTTCAGGACATTTAAGTTTCATAAAATATTTGATCATTGACTCGTTAAAGTAAAAAAAAGATTAGAACAATTTAGTTAACAAAAATACTTATTAGTATATAAATGTAATTATAAATCTGACAATAATTTTAATATTATTAACCACTAAAAAAAATTTTTGTAATAGCCAAAATAAATATAATTTTAAAACAGATATATGTATAATATATTATTATTTTTTTCTATTTTGTTAATGTTATAGTTAAAACATTATTGAAAAATTTTAATTAAAAATATTATTTTAAATCTATAATATTCCTTATTCCTTATCGAAGTTTTCTATATCTGAATTATTTCTTCGTAGATATTTTCTGTTGAATATAATACAAAATTATAAATATATAAAAAGAATAATATTTTTTTCTGGAAATTTATAAGATGGACAATGAATTTTCTGTATCGTTTGTATATTTGTTTAACCTGTATGTGTATTTGTTTAACCTGTTTGTGAATTTCTTTAAACTGGCGACGTCGCTTTGAGCAAATAGCTAAGTAAAAGTGCAGAAAATACCTTTTAATGATCGGGTTTTTACAGAGGTAAATGTATAAATATTTCTTCGTATTTCGCAAATAAACTTTAAAGAAAACATAACGTGAAAGTCTTTGCTTGATGCAATATATATATTTACCTTAAGCAAAATGCGTCGACAGAATTATATGTCCTTACTATTACTTTTATTTATTATATGCGTAACTTATACTTTAGCTACTGATTGAATCTTTTTTTGTTGTAATAACTGCGGATCGTTATTTATGGTAACACACAAAATAGCTCCAGATGGTGTTTTCATTACGTCGATAACAAATCGTCATCAGCAGGCAGAACGCCGCGATAGCATACGTGTCTCAAATAAAAAATCAGTCCAAAATCGTGATACTTGTGACCAAATAACCGATGGCTACTGTAATCTTCGTTAATTCACTGCGGTTGTGTACATTATCAGATTTAATTTATAGCCATCCACAAGAGGATGTGCATACCGCATAACATACAATTAGTATCGACAGTGGAGAATGAATGGTATTGATTTTACAGGTTTGTATCTGTTTTTTTGTTGATATGGACACGTTTGTCGTAAGCTGCGAGCCATATGACATCAAGTAAATAACATTCGATATCAGAGTATGAGACCTGTCAAAAAAAACATTAAAAAGTAAATTCAGATATTAAAAAATACTTTTTACTTGTGCAATATTGTATCGTTCAGAAAATTAAATAATTTGCAAATAGCCTTCGTAACACGACATACTGTTTATTAAAAATCGCATGTAAAGAATATTTAAAGTTAGAAGACATTATTTTATTAATTTAATTTGAATTGTTTTATAACTGCTTAATTTGCAATAGTACAAATATTTACATAATTAAATATAATTTTATAATAAAAAATATATTAACTGTTTATTAACAATTATTGCAGAATGTATAAAGTTTTTAATATCTAATGTTTTATACGATTTCTATTCTTTTCTGAACTTGTTTCAATGAATAACTCAAATATTTTTTTTTAATAAAAACTTTTCTTTGAAATGTTTTTCAATTGCATAACATTTTTGAATGTAAACGTATCTTTGTACAACGCATAATTGGTAACTAAATTTTTTGAGAAAGGAAATTAAAGAAGTGCAAAAAATATAATAGAGAAAAGACAAACGTATAAAGTATTTTAGTAGCACATATTTGCATATAAATAATTTCTAATTAATTTTACAATAATAACAAGTATAATGCTTAATTAGTTTTAATGCTTAATTATGAAAATAATATTTAAATAAGTAATTATTCTAATGAACAAATAAGATTTGCATAATTTTTATATGCAAATTAGAAATTATTTCTCGCCCCATACCCGCACACATGCAAAAACACATGCTCACACATGTAAAATAGATCCAGATTGAAATCTTTACATTAAATATTTATTCGTGTCTTTTTGGTGACAAGATCTGTCATAATGTCAGATTCAAATGGTCATATCACAGAGGCAGTATAATGCATCTAAGGGAAAATTTTACATATGCAGTGTGAGCCGCACGACGAAGCAAACTTCGAGCAGCCTTGCGCCCACGTA